GCAGGCGCCAAATACCACCTATCTAGCTCATCATGAACATATTTCCTAATATCATAAGTATTTTCTTGCATTACGTCAATATGGTGGGGAACTGGGACTTGCCCCTGTAACCTATCGATCAAGTTCCGCCGGCAAGTGATCAATATCTTGATCGGGAATTGTGATGCGTGTACCTCTTTATACAGTCTACGCAGGAATTGAAAACTGAGTGTGTCTGAGCACTCATCGATAGCATCCACAACAAAAACGAGTGGCATTTTTTGGAGTATCTGACAGTTTGGTTGCTAATCCGTCCAATTCTTGAATTAGTACGCTCCAAAGGCCTTCATATGAGTTCATTCGCGTTTCGACCGATTGGAGGCTAGCTAAGCCGCAAAGCTCCTGAATTAACGCACCAGCACCAGAATATAACTGCATGAGTTGGTGTACGAATGCCGATAGGAAGTTTATGGGAGATTTTGCTCTGTCGTATTGGGCTGTGAAAAAAAATAGCCCGCTCTGTGAGATTCCTGGAAGTTCTTTTTCCAGTAGCGCAGAGCAAAGGATGCGAGGGTGGTTTTCCCACAACCAGGTGGGCCGTAAACCCATAGAAGACTTGTTCCCTGACTGTCCCACCAAGTTTTATACTTTTCATGGCTAAGAAGCCAGGAACAAGTTCCCTCGTATGGTTCCTCGAGGCCGGTTACAAACAAATCCAAATATCTTGTCTGTAATACTCCGGCAACCCGCGATTGTAATTCTACTACAATTATCATTGACTACTAGGGTTCGTGTGTTTGATTGTAATCGCAATTTTTACAAAAAATAAGGCTTTGAAACATTCAATCGCTCTACAAATGGTGATTTATTTTGGCTGTAAACCTTCTGCCACATTGTATGCATAGTTCCTCGCCTACCCAGAGCACCTTGTTTGTTTCTGGGTTATTCGTCTGGATTGCTGAAACAAAGTCAAATCTCCTATTGCACCAAAATACGTGCTGAGCTAGCTAAGTGCAAGGAAACTCAATTGTTTCACTATCTAGCATACAAAAGGCACAAGAGATGCCAAGTAACTCAAGCGTGAGACCTCGCAGCGGCTGCATAGGCAACCTTTTATGTTCTCACCGATATAAACATGCCCTTCTAACCTCTCAGCCTATGCGGCAGCAGCCATAGCAGCCTGACTATCCCTAAACATCTTCTGCACAGAAGCCCGGTCCGAGGTTGCCTTGTACCAGGCAGTATAGGCGGGATACTTCTTGTCAAGCTGTAAATCCGCTACATCATCGCCGAAGATGTAGGGTATGAGCGATGCCCAAGGAACAAAAGCCAAGTCAGCAAAAGTACTGTATTGGCCATTTAGCTTTATCTCATGCAGCACGAATTTTGATTACTTACCACTTGTCACCAACAAGATATTCTCTCCCGCTAAGTGCCTTGTCCAGGACAGATACCACTCGGATGGTTTCATCCTTGTATCGTTTTAGAGCTTTCTCAGCTCTCATATCACCTACGCGATGAAACATGCTTGCTGCTGCACTGTTGGGTTGACATTTTTAATGGCTCTTTTGGTGTTTGCATTGTGTTAAATAATAATATAGAGCTATGAGGGCCAGGCAGTTATTTGCCAAACGGGATCACTGTGTTGAGCATGCCGTGGCTCTTATGTACACTTCCTTCAAGTGGGTCCGGTCGATCTAAGGCGGAGAGTATTCCGCGCTAATAAATTCCCATGTCTTCAGCCTTATCGATATGTCAGATTGGGCTTCGATTCCGCTGACTAGCGGAAGAAGTCCGCTTATCTTATCTTCAGCTGAACCAGCTTATCTGTTATCTGTTATCGATTATCGGACTGAAATCTTTCAAGATTTGTCTGTTTCCATGTGTATTGAAGATTTCTGAGCCCTGGAAGCTCTTCACAGGAGAGTCTTATAGTTGCAGAATAAAAAACAGTCTTGAGTCTAAGTAGAGGCTATACTGCAGATTTGAATTATTACACTGGGTTTATAACAGCTGTAATCGATGCTGATTGGGATAATCTTCAATCTCTTCAAAAGCACATATGTGTTCATAGAACAATGCGACAGCAAGAATTTAACATATATTTAAAAAGAGATTCTGTCCCTTGGTGTCTATAAAAGAAAAGAACACTCAACTACTGAAAAGGATGAATACAATTGCATAAGCTGTGTTTCAAAATTGAACATTGCTTGCAGTCTTTAGGGTAAGCTGACGTTATAGCTGTTCTTATAGTTATCTCGGTGAGCGATAAGGAAGTGGGTCAGCTGAAGCCGATCTCTGATAATATCTCAAACATCCAATCACTGTCTTCGTGTTGCGGTTAACTTTGCCAGATTAAGTATGTACAGAAGCGCCATCTCGGTGGAACCTCTTCCCCGGAACACCGGGATGCGGGGTAGCGAGGGTCTGGGCGTAGAAAGAGGTTCTTCTCCCCTGAGGCAAAACTTCCAAGATGTGGATTTCATCACCGCTCTGTAAATGCAGCAGGGCTCCGGCTGTGACTATGACTGACGAGCCAAAAAGATGCCCTGCTAAGAATGTGAAAGCGCGGAGTTAGTACACCTCTCAGAGATGCGACAGTACAGTCTTGGCTAACACGCGCGTCTAGCTGGCTGTTCTATCTGCAAGAGACGCGTAAGTCGCGGTCTTGTCGCAACGAGTAGTCTATTGTAATGCTGACTTTTGAGAAAAGAAGGTGAAATGTGATGAGCAGCTGCCAGGATGTAAGAGATGCGCCAAAATCGGTATCGAATGCCCCGGCTATCGTAAGCCAGTGAAATGGTCGGTCAAGTACGAGAAGTACATGGTCAATTCGTCACCAACTGCGGATAGCTCCTTTTCTTGGTTCGACTTGGGCGCGAGAAAGCTATCAAACTCGATACAGACGAAATCAGACTCTGGAAGCGTCGACACTCAGAACGATAATGACTCTGAAGTACAAGCACCTGGTCCTTTCACGCAAGGTTCTCGTTCTAGTTTTTCTGACGCCAGCGAACACTTTGAGGACATGTTGGAAATGCAACCACCCTCGACGTTGGATCTAGGGCGGCCCTCGACATTGTGCGACGATGTCCAAGCCGACGAGGAATTTCCCCTTGCACCCGATGCCTTATATGATGACTCTCTGTGCCTAACTTCCTACACACCAACTCTACAAACATCCCTCGTACTTGATCACTACTTTTCAACGATTTGCCATCTCAACTCATCCTTCGACTCAGCGGATAACCCATTCCGATCAGAAGTTGTTAGAATGATGGCCGACTCACCTCTCCTCTTCGGATGCGTGCTGAGCATGTCAGCAGCTCACTTGTATCAAGGTGACAAAGGCAGCAGCTACATACCACTGGAATTCCAGACTGAAGCAATGTCACACCTTTCGCAGACATTGTCCAAGCTTCCTGTGAGCAAGGAATGCGAGACGAATGACAACCGGCCTACGGACTTGGTATCTCGGGAGAAGATTCTGAATGTTTCAGATGACTTGCTCTTGAGCATTATATTCTTAGGAATGACTGCGGTAGGTATTCCCGCTCCTCTAGTCTGACTAAATCTGACCTGTTGACTCATCAGGCTTGGCATGATGTCTCTGCAACTGGCCTGCCACATCTCCATGGGTCACGACAACTATTCAGGTCATGGATAACATTAAACAAACTGGAAGACATGGAAAAAAGAAATAACATAATGAGAACACAAATATTTGTGGTCTCATCTATAGTATATTGGGAAGCTATAAGCTCAGCTCTCTTCGACCAGCAATATGAAGGCTTATCACATCTCAACATCTTTTGCGATCCCCATCCCCCAGCACTTATCCAACCTTGTCTATGGACCGGCGTTGCAACGCCCATTTTTATCTTTCTTACAAAGGCACTAACGCTGGTGCGGAATAACCGGGCTTTAAAGAGCTTGCGGGTTTTCGACACCGGAGAGCTCCATCGGAGGGCTCTGTACGCCGAGTTACTCGCCAAAGCAGCTAGTCTCGAGCGTGAGATTGTAGGGTATCGGCTGCCCTTTGTTGGTCTTATTGATGACATTGGCGATCCATGCACAACGCCTGATCACTTGCTGGCTATATCCCGCTGTTACCGTCTGGCTGCCCTACTAGAGCTCTACTC